CAATCATAAACACTCACCTCCCTAACACAGATTGTTGTATATCTTCAGGATGGTACAATCATAAACACTCACCTCCCTAACACAGATTGTTGTATATCTCCAGGATGGTACAATCATGAAATCTCATCTCCCTAACACAGATTGTTGTATATCTTCAGGATGATACAGTCATAAACCCTCACCTCCCTAACACAGATTGTTGTATATCTCCAGGATGGTACAATCATGAACCCTCACCTCCCTAGCACAGATTGATGTATATCTCCAGGATGATACAATCATGAACCCTCATCTCCCTAACACAGATTGTTGTATATCTCCTGGATGGTACAATCATGAACCCTCATCTCCCTAACACAGATTGTTGTATATCTAGAGGATGGTACAATCATGAACCCTCACCTCCCTAGCACAGATTGATGTATATCTCTAGGATGGTACAATCATGAACCCTCATCTCCCTAACACAGATTGTTGTATATCTAGAGGATGGTACAATCATGAACCCTCACCTTCCTAACACAGATTGTTGTATATCTCCAGGATGGTACAATCATAATCGTCACCTCCCTAACACAGATTGTTGTGTATCTGCAGGATATTGCAATCATAAACCCTCACGGTACGGGTATTTGCCGTCGAAGTGGGAGCGAGAGGCCTCTTTTCCACTTCGCTCTTCAATGTGGTGAAAGAACTAGGATTGCGCGGTAATGAACAGAATACTTACCTTCATAACATAGATGAGTGTACTTCTTGGAGGGACCATAAACACTCGAACACTTAAAAAGATTGGGAGAGGTAGCCGAAAGGGCCTCTAGCTGGCTTTGGACGCAGCGCAACAACGTAGGGGGACGGGCCTGGTGAGCTGGTCCGGGTGTCTAGCGGAAAGGACTTTCTCATCCCTTTGAAAGTCCATCGTGTACGAATTGTCTGCCAGTGTCCCTCTAAACCAACTGCTAATAAAAGTTCAGATTGTGTCTGGTAAACCAAAGTAAGCTTGTCGCTCGGTCGTCCAGATGGCATGCGGACTGTTTTAATTACGCTGTCGCGGCGGCTTCTTATCTCACAGTACCTGGTACAATAACCACTAAGTCGTCTTGTCTGTCTCTGGCCGAAATATAACACCATCCGGTAATTCTGTCAGCGGGGAAGCAGCCCTGAGCTTCATGAACTCAGGTGGGCCCCCACCTCCAGAATACGTTTAGGATCGTGGGCCGAAAACGTGTTGTCGACGAGGATATTTATCTACAGATGACTGTAGATATCCCAGGATGCTGTAATCTTGCTCCCTGTAACACAGATTGTTTATTCAGGATGATGCAATCATGAGCCCTCACCTCCCTAACACAGATTGTTGTATATCTCCAGGATCGTACAATCATGAACCCTCACCTCCCTAACACATATTGTTGTGTATCTCCCGGATAGTACAATCATAAAACCTCACCTCCCTAACATAGATTGTTGTATATCTTCAGGATGGTACAATCATGAGCCCTCATCTCCCTAACACAAATTGTTGTATATCTCCAGGATGATACAATCATGAACCCTCATCTCCCTAACACAGATTGTTGTATATCTCCTGGATGGTACAGTTATGAACCCTAACCTCCCTAACACAGATTGTTGTATATCTTCAGGATGATGCAATCATGAGCCCTCATCTCCCTAACACAGATTGTTGTATATCTCCAGGATGGTACAATCATAAACCCTCACCTCCCTTACACAGACTGTTGTAAATGTTCAGGATGATACAGTCATGAACCCTCACCTCCCTAACACAGATTGTTGTAAATCTTCATGATGATACAGTCATGAGCCCTCATCTCCCTAACAAAGATTGTTGAATATCTCCAGGATGATACAATCATGGGCACACTGACTATCAGAGAGAACTTGCATTTCTCGGCGGCTCTCAGGCTCCCTCAAACTGTTACCTACAAGGAAAGACAAGAAAAAGTCGACAAAGTCATTACAGAGTTAGGACTGGACATGTGTGCGGACACCAGAGTGAGTATCAGCCTTTCTGTCTCTCACACACAGTTGTCAATCTCCCCCACAAAGTTATCAGGCTCTCCCACACCGTGCGGACACCAGAGTGAGTATCAGTCTTTCTGTCTCTCACACACACTTGAATCTCATACACACAAAAAGTATCAGCCTCCCCCACACAGTTGTCAATTTCCCCCACAAAGTTATCAGTCTCTCCCACACCGTTATCAGCCTGCCTCACGTTCTGATGGTTCACTCTGTCCTACTCTTTACACATTAACGTAAAGATCCCTTTTCACGACTTAGGGGCATCGGGCATATGGGAAGAAGGTTCCATATTTCTACAGACCAATCGGCACTGGGTGGGTATGTGGTTAGCATTACGACAGCCGTCTTTACTTAGATAGGACAGCCATCCGGGTACCCATTTTAGGCAGAGCCCACCTGTGACCCCCGACATCATGATAAAAATCCACGCAGCCAGCAGTTGGTTTCGATCGCGGTACGTTGGAATTTATAAACCTTAAGCTAAGGATAATTTTTAGCTCCCATACACGACTGGGTGGAAAGATCCTTAGTACGTTTGCCTTATAGCAGTACCCAGTTGACATCTGCCTCATTGAAGCTGTACCTAGTGAGACATCTGCCTCATTAAAGCAGTACCCAGTCGGACATCTGCCTCATTAAAGCAGTATCCAGTGGGACATTTGACTCATTAAAGGAGTACTTCGTAGAGCAACTGACTCATTAAAGCGGTACCCAGTGGAACATCTGCCTCGTTAATGCAGTACCCAGTGGAACATTTGACACATTAAAGCAGTACCAAGTGTGATATCTGCCTCAATAATGCAGTACCCAGTGGAACATTTGACTCATTAAAGCAGTACACAGTGGGTCATCTGCCTCATTAAAGCAGTATTCTGTGGAACATCTGCCTCATTAAAGCAGTACCTAGTGGGACATTTGACTCATTAAAGCAGTACCCAGTGGGAGGTCTGCCTTATTAATGCAGTACCCTGTGGAACATCTGCCTCATTAAAGCAGTACCTAGTGGGTCAGCTGCATCATTAAAGCAGTACCCAGTGGGACATTTGACTCATTAAAGCAGTACCCTGTGGAACATTTGACTCGTTAAAGCAGTACATAGTGGGAGATCTGCCTCATTAAAGCAGTACCCAGTGGGCTATCTGCCTCATTAAAACAGTACCCAGTGGGAGATCTGACTAATTAAAGCAGTACCCAGTGGGACATTTGACTTATTAAAGCAAGTACCCAGTGGGACATTTGACTCATTAAAGCAAAACCAAGTGGGAAATTTGACTCATTAAAGCAGTACCCAGTGGGAAATTTGACTCATTCAAGCAGTATCCAGTGGGGGATCTGCCTTATTAAAGCAGTACACAGTGGGACATCTGGCTGATTAAAGGAGTACCCAGTGGGACATTTGCCTCATTAAAGCAGTACCCAGTGGGACATTTGACTCATGAAAGCAGTATTCAGTGGGACATCTGACTCATTAAAGCAGTACCCAGTGAGACATTTGTCGTGGCTGAAACGAAAAAGAAAAACAAAAAATGACTAAAAATCTGGAAGAGTCAACATTAGTGTCGTGTTAAAAGTCGACTTGAATCTGTGGAAGGCTTCCGTACATTGTTTAGACCAGAGACTATGTTCTCTAACATCGCTTTCTTTAAAAAACGATAGAGGGTGGAAAGGGGGTGGTGAGTGATGTGAATCTGGAATATAAGTTACAACGTTACAGTGCTGAACGTAATTGATTTCCATGTAGGAATATGAAGTATTCCACCTTCAATAGTAGCTTTAGGTTTTCTCACCACGTGTCCCACAATACGATCAAGAAAGCCGACTTCCTGTTATGCTACCTGTACCTTCTTAGATCTGACAGACCGAAAAATTGGAAGCATTCATGCAATGACTTTAACGTGTCTTTAACTTGTTCATTTAAGTCATATGGACACAGAAAAATAAAATTGTTTACATAGTAAATAAAATCGGTACGTCCATGTACCAGTTCCGGTCTATATACGGGAAAGTCTTCGATGCAATGTATAGGTTGTGTTATGTAAGAAAATATTTACAGCCCGAGAGAAAAAAGGAATCTTTCTATAGCCCTCAGTGATATCAACTTTCGTGAAATAACAAGCTCTTACAGGGGAATTAAATAAAACCTCAATATAAGAAATATTGTCTGCATTGACGTACTGATACCATCGAGCTTTTGAACGTCAATGGATACACGAAGTTCATTCAACCTACTTACTAAAAAACACCATCGGAAATGAACATGATGAGATCGATGCATCAGTTATATCAAGTCGTATCATATTATCGATCGCCTTATCAACAGCAGGTTGATAGTGCAGAGGCAAGCAGCATGGCTTTAGAGTGATCGAACACTGATCCATGAACCAGATCGTGTGTATGGTTTGTCGAACTCTCCCCGGTACTGGCAAATGGCGCCAGATTTCGACAGATATGAGGCTCGCTTTTCATGACATTGTAGGTACAAGTACGGGTAAAACTATTTGCAGCGTGATTATCTATTCCACTACACCGGATGTTCCATCTGTTACATGTCAAAACCCTGTCTGTATTTTAGACTCCTAATTTGAGCTTCAGACTTATCAGTAACAAAATCAAGTGCAGTCAACAAGTTAGCAGCAGAGACTAAGCCTATTCTGGTAATCTGGTAATTTTAATTTCAGCTTCATAGCAAACAGGTCACCCCATCTTTGCTCCGCTACTGTGCCAACGAAAAACACACAGAATGTTTATCACAGTCCCTTGTGGGGAAAGACTGACAAACTGCTGTCTCAGCAAATCTAGCATACACTCGCATTAAAAGCATATGGTAGCCATCCGAAATGCTAAAACAAACAGTCTGACGTTTGAAATGCAGTTCAAATTGATGGTAGCAGAATTCACCAAAAGATCAGCAGTTGCACACGTGATGAATTTTAATCAAATAATGGCCCCACTAATATTGCGACTACCGGCATCGCCATTTTCTGAATCTACAAATCACACCACCACGTTGGTCAGTCGAAAAACATTCCAAATGAAATCCGCAGCTCACAGTGTCACGCCATGCACTCAACTCAGAAGCTGGATAACGAAACTATATACTTCCAGTCTACAAATGGAGCAAGAAAGCAACGGCCACAGTCTGGCAGAAGCAAAAAGTTTTGCCTTGGCTCAAAACAGTGGCAGTGCCTAGTGATCATTTGGACCTGAAGCATTATGTGGGAGTTAATAAACGGTCACCCCAGCAGTACACTCACTATTACCTGGGGAAGGGATTAAGGACATTACATCCACCAGCAAGCGTCGCCCCAACAACGACCTGACTGCCTTCGTTAACGACTGTTAACCCAAGAGCCATGCAGTTCTTTGGCACGAAGGAGACACCTTGAACTTGGGTTTCAATCTGCCGACTCTCTACACGAAAATATATGTGTGCTACTGGTGTCCTGTAGCCAAAATACTATCTTCTCTGTATTACTAAAATTCAGCACGCATACTCAAACGCGCAGTAGTTAAAAAAAAGAAAAAAAAAACACACACACATATACATGCACTCATTACCTGCCACCCGCTTGCTTGCTGGTGCAGCACACATGACTACATATTTATATAAGTAAATATATCGGGAGAGGGAGAGAGTGAAACAAGGGAAGAATCATAGAGAATGACCACACATATGTAAGACACTGACACAGGGAATTCCCTATGCACACAAGGTCGGCATGACTGGCCCCAAGAAGGGGACTCAGTCAGATTAGACACAGTCCCTGCTGTGACAGAAAGTTGGCTGTAATAAAGGACTGCCGTAGAAAGGTGCAACCAAGGGGCGTTTTCAGAAAGAGATGCATACTTTGTGGTAGGGTAACATTGCTTGAAAAATGTATTCTGCAAGCCACCAGGGGTTGTATTCACATTTTCTAGGTTCTAACAATAGTAATACACTAGCCATGACTAATAATAATCATTAACAGCTCAGCCAATACATACATAAATCGGCGTAGACAGAAAGAGAGAGAGAGATGGAGCGAGAGAGAGAGAGAGAGATGAGAGAGAGAGAGATGAGAGAGAGAGAGAGAGTGAGAGAGAGAGAGAGAGAGAGAGAGAGAGAGAGAGAGAGAGAGAGAGAGAGAGAGAGAGAGAGAGAGAGAGAGAGAGAGGGATCACCACGTATCTAATTACAGCAAAAATGTATAGCGTTAATTGAGTCTTCTGTTTCGATATCCAAACGTGCTTGTTGTCAGCCATACAATTTTTGCGTGCATCGATCAAGGCCTGAGAACAGCAAATCAAGTGCTGTGTCTCTAAGTTCATTTATAGGTGGCCACGGGGTCACAGATGGAACTGTTGTAGCTTGAATCCTGCAGGTAAATTGGGTGCTCAGAGAATGTCGTGTTCTCAGGTGTATCTGGTGTAGCCTGATGAGATGTCCTCGCGAAGAAAGGTGAAATATTTAAAAAAAAAGAGAATTCCAAGTGTCTGTAATTATTTCTTCTTCCATTCGTGAACCCGCCTGCGTCAGAACAAATGTTGCTCCATTAAACGGCGTCTAGGTGTCCGAGGGAACGGTTGATGGCCTGGTGTTTAATCAGTTTCATATTTCACGTTTTACTGATGTAAGATTTATTGTCCTCTTTCTGTCTCACACAGATAGTAGCGAGCAAGTTGCCTTTAATAACCGTTGGAAATACCGCGCGTATAATGTTCTACGTAGTATCATTAGAGAATGTGATGGTCCGGATGCCTATAGTTCGGTGAGCGAGTCCAGCAGCTAGCATTTTCCTGTCTCTTCTTTTCCCTAGCATTACTATATTTTGAAAAAAGCTCAGTCCTATCGTAGTCACACATGTTTCGTTTGTATAATGTGACACTTGCTGGACGTCCCTCGGACTAAGCCTATTATTATGATATACGTAAGGATGATCTCTCACTTTTAGCAGGTAATCAACGGAAACATATTTTAGGACGACAGTAAAGGGACTAAAAGCCAACTAGATTGATGTGGAAGAGGAATCAAGAACTCACAATTAGGTCTCAGTGTAAATAACCGATGGCTACGTTCAAGCTGTCGACATCTGATGAATGTCTAGGTAACAAACTAAAAACACACTTGATGCCAGTTTTGTGTATGGTATTGTCGTATGACAACCGCAGACGCTGATGTTACAACTACTTCTGATTTCCATTTCTGGCAGGTCGGGACAGAGTTTAGTCGTGGAGTCTCGGGTGGCGAGAGGAAGCGATGCACCATCGGCATGGAGTTGATCATCTCCCCGGCAGTGCTGCTGCTAGATGAACCAACCACCGGCCTTGATGCCGACACGGCCTTCACTGTGCTCGTCTTCTTAAAGAAGTTTGTTTTCCCTGTGTTTGTCCTCTATTTCTGACCCCCCCCCCCCCCCCACCACCACCACCACCACCACCACCACCACCACCACCACCACCACCACCACCACCACCACCACCACCACCACCACCACCACCACCACCACCACCACCACCACCATCATCACCACCACCACCACCACCACCACCATCACCAACACACACTCACACGCACACACAAAACACATATACCAAATGTGTTAGTCGAAAAGATCTACTCAACACGCTCAAGAAGATTGGGTGTTCACCTACTAAACATTATTATTGCCGTTTCACACAGGTAGGAGACGGGTATATTCGGTTTGTGACTGTGTGTCGGAGAAATGGTAATCAACAAATTATTGCAGAAAGAATGGGAGCTGAGCTTCTGAGAACAGAAATAAATGATGACAGCAGCCGTCCTGAAATTTATTTGTGGAACGGGTCTTGCTTGTTACATTCGCCCTAGCTATGGTCTCTGAGACCCATGCCCGGGTCTTGCTGGTTACATTCGCCCTAGCTATGGTCTCTGAGATCCATGCCCGGGTCTTGCTGGTTACATTCGCCCTAGCTATGGTCTCTGAGATCCATGCCCGGGTCTTGCTGGTTACATTCGCCCTAGCCATGGTCTCTGAGATCCATGCCCGGGTCTTGCTGGTTACATTCGCCCTAGCTATGGTCTCTGATACACACGCCTCCTCATAACATAATATAATATTATCATTATGGAAAACGGAAACGTGCAAACACTGCCTCGACAAAAATGACTGACAACTTGGATTGTAACATCAACATTGGTAACGTACATAGATTTGGTTGACTTTAAGAAAGCTTGTGACATGGTAGACCCTAATGTTTTAATTATTTATTTAAAAAAAAACGTGATAACTAACAATCATTTAGTGAAATTAATGTGGTCATTTGTGTCTTCTAGGCAGCTAGCTAGTAGTACCTCTCAATAATTCTTTATTAAAGTCAACCAAGTTTTATGTAGGGCTAAGGACACAAAAATAGGCCCACTGCTGTTTAATTACATCACAGCATAACATGTTATCAAATTGAATAGAGCAACGCCAATAGCATGGAAATTACTATAAATAAAACTAAATATATGCTTACAAAACTCATCATCATCATCATCATCATCATGTAGCAGGTCCTTTGCAGAACGTCGCTCTCATCACAGTCTGCCTGAAAGAAACTCGGTCTCTCGCCTCATGCATTTTCATACTCAAGGAGCCACTTATATCCTGTGACCATCTTTGTTGTGGTCGGCCCCTGCCCCTTNGAAAGTGATGTGGAAGAGGAATAAAGAACTCAAAATGGGTCTCGGAAAAAACCCGATGGCTACTTTTAAAGCAGTCATATTGATAAATCCCTGGTAAAAACTAAATGACAACTGCAGACCCTGATGTTACAACTACTTATGATTTCCATTTCTGCCAGGTAGGGACAGAGTTTAGTCGTGGAGTCTGTTGGTGGCGAGGACGGGACGCGATGCACCATCGGCATGGAGTGATCATTCCCCGGCAGTGCTTGTGCTACTAGATGAACCAAACCACCGGCCTTGATGCCGACACGGCCTTCACTGTGCTGTCTTCTTAAAGACTTTGTTTCCCTGTGTTTGTCCTCTATTTATGACCCCCCACCACCCACCACCACCACCACCACATCACCAACACACACTCACACGCACACACAAAACACATATACCAAATTTGTTAGTCGAAAAGATCTACTCAACACGCTCAAGAAGATTGGATGTTCACCAACTAAACATTATTATTGCCGTTTCACACAGGTAGGAGACGGGTATATTCGGTTTGTGACTGTGTAACATCGGAGAAATGGTAATCAACAAATTATTGCACAAAGAATGGGAGCTGAGCTTCTGAGAACAGAAATAAATGATGACAGCAGCCGTCCTGAAATTTATTTGTGGAACGGGTCTTGCTTGTTACATTCGCCCTATCTATGGTCTCTGAGACCCATGCCCGGGTCTTGCTGGTTACATTCGCCCTAGCTATGGTCTCTGAGACACACGCCTCCTCATAACATAATATAATATTATCATTATGGAAAACGGAAACGTGCAAACACTGCCTCGACGAAAATGACTGACAACTTGGATTGTAACATCAACATTGGTAAAGTGCATAGATTTGGATGACTTTAAGAAAGCCTGTGTGGTAGACCCTAATGTTTTAATTATTTATTTTTAAAAAAAACCGTGATAACTAACGATCATTTAGTGAAATTAATGTGGTCATTTGTGTCTTATAGGCAGCTAGCTATATTAACAAAAAGTTTAGATCATCCCTTTACGATATTAGGGCTTTCAGAGGTGCCGATGTATTTACTGACCATTTCCTGGTGATAAGTAAAATCAAGTTGAAACTAAAAAGATATATAACATCTTATAATCATAGAAACCAATATAATGTAGGCTTTCTCAGAGATAAAGAAATTAAGCAACAGTTCTCAGTTACGGTCTCTAATAAGTACCAGGTGTTGCAGCAGTTAGCTGAAGATGTCAACACAGAAGTCTGCTGGGATCAGATCAAAGGAATCTGGAATGAATCTTGCGTAGAAGTTCTTGGCAAGAAAGAAAGGAAACATAAAGCATGGATAACACCAGAAACCATTAAACTGATTGAAGAGATACGAAAAAGTAAAAAAGGCAGAATTAAACAATAGCAAAACTAGAGCTGCTAAAGCTAGAGCTAAGGAGAATTACTACAGAAGCCAACAAGGAAGTTTAGGAGGCATATAAGGGCAGATAAAGTGAAATATCTAAATGATCTAGCACAAGAAGCGGATGACAGCAGCAGCAAAAGGAAACCTCAGAGAACTTTACCAGTAACACAAGAAAATTAGTAGTTAAATATAGTCAGCCAAACTGGATCAATCAAAAATAGTCAAGGAAAGGTACTTACTAACACTAAAGAATCAAATGGACAGATGGGTTGAATATTTTGAAATGCTTCTAAATAGACCAGGCCCAGAGGTTCCCCCAGTATCCAGCCTTTAGAAATGGAAATGGATATCAACTGTGAGATACCATCCCAAAGAGGAAAATTAGAAAAGCTATAAATCTTCTTAAGGAAGGAGGAGGCGTCAGGCCCAGATGGTATCCCAGCTGAAGCCATCAGGACAACATAAACACATCAACAGAATGCTACATAGATTATTCAGTAAAGTCTGGGAGACCGAAGAAATACCAGCAGACTGGAGAGAGAGGATATCTTGTGAAAATGCCCAAAAAAGGTGATCTACAGGAGTTTGAAACTATAGAGGAATTATGTTGCTGTCAGTTCCTGGAAAAAAAATATTAAGTAGAAATTATTTGGAAAGATTAAAAGATGCTATTGATAAAATGCTAGAGATGAGCAGGCAGGTTTTCGGTCAAACAGATCCTGTACTGATCAGATAGCCACAATACGTATTATAATAGAGCAAAGCATTGAACTGAACTCACCACTTTACATTGGATTATAGACTATGAAAAAGCATTTGACAGCATTGATAGGGAAATCTCTCTGGAAATTGATGGGGGCACTATGGAATCCCACAACATATAAAAGACATGAAATGTCGAGTTCTTCATGAGGGAAAGCTAACAGATGCATTTGAAATAAAAACCAGGTGTGCGACAGGAATGTCTTTTGTCGCCTCTCCTATTTTACTGGCTTATAGACTGGACTATTGAAAACATTAACTGCTACACCAAAGAATGGAATTCAGTGGACCCCTACAAAACAGCTTGATGATCTGGACTTCGCTGATGATATTTGCCCTTCTTTCCCATTCACGGAATCAGATACAAGATAAATTAAATATACTTAATGCGAGATCACAGCAGCTTGGTCTGAAAATCCATAAGGAAAGACCAAAGATAATGAGAATAAATCAGGCAAATAGTAATTGTGGTTTCTCTTAATGGCACCCCACTCCAAGACGTGGAGTCGTACACCTATTTAGGCAGTAATGTAGATAAAGATGGAGGAACTGATAGAGATTTTAAAATAAGAATACAAAAGGCAAGAGGGGCTTTCATAGCACTAGGAATTTGTGGAGGTCAAAAGAAATTAAAAGAAATACTAAACTAAAAATTTTTAATTTCTAATGTCAATCAGTACTATTGTATGGGGCGGAAACATGGAGAACAACGAAGGCAATTACTAATAAAATTACAGACATTCATTAACTGGTGCCTGCGCAGAATAGAGGGAATAAAATGGTATGATAGAATAACTAATGTAGAACTTTGGGAGAGAACTAAAAACAGGCTCCAGTGGATCAGGAGGTGAGGAAAAGACGCTGGCGTTTGGATAGGGCACACACTGTGAAAAAACAGGAGAGAACAGCATAACTAGAATGTCTTTGCATTGGAACCCACACTGGGGCATAGGAAATAAAGGCAGCAGCCAAAAAATACATGGGAGAAGAGAGCTGGAGAATGAGGTTAGACAAGATTGGGCAGGACATGGGGAGAGCTCCATGTAATGGCGAAGGATAGAACGACTTGGCGTGAGTTGGTTGAGGGCCTATGCTCCATTGGGGGATAGAAAGGCAGAAGAGAGAGAGGCAGCTAGCTAGTAGTACCTCTCAATAATTCTTTATTAAAGTCAACCAAGTTTTATGTAGGGCTAAGGACACAATAATAAATGGATGGATGGATGGATGGATGGATGGATGGATGGATGGATGGATGGATGGATGAATGGATGGATGGATGGATGGATGGATGGATGGATGGATGGATGGATGGATGGATGTATGTATGTTATGTATGTATGTATGTAATGTATGTATTGTATGTATATATGTAAATAAGATATTTTGAAATCAATGTTAGTTATTGTCTCTTTGTCTCCTGCCGTCACTATGTGCCTTTCCCTGCACCTGTCTCTATATAGGTCTCTGTGTCTGTCTCTGACACAGGTTGTCCAAGAAAGGACGAACCATCATCTTCTCCATCCATCAGCCCCGCTACTCCATCTACTCGCTGTTCGATAGTCTCCTGCTTCTGGTCGCGGGCTCTGTGGTCTACAGCGGCCAGGCTCATGAAGCCTTGGACTTTTTTGCTGCTCAAGGTCGGTACTAAGTGTTCGCCATTCTAGTATTATTTCTGTTGTTCGTCATTCTAGTACTATTTCTGTTGTTCGTCATTCTAGTACTATTTCTGTTGTTCGTCATTCTAGTACTATTTCTGTTGTTTGTCATTCTAGTACTATTTCTGTTGTTCGTCATTCTAGTACTATTTCTGTTGTTCGTCATTCTAGTACTATTTCTGTTGTTCGTCATTCTAGTACTATTTCTGTTGTTCGTCATTCTAGTACTATTTCTGTTGTTCGTCATTCTAGTACTATTTCTGTTGTTCGTCATTCTAGTACTATTTCTGTTGTTCGTCATTCTAGTACTATTTCTGTTGTTCCTCATTCTGGTACAATTTCTGTTGTTCTTCACTCTAGTACTATTTCTGTTGTTCGTCATTCAAGTACTATTTCTGTTGTTCGTCATTCTAGTACTATTTCTGTTGTTCGTCATTCTGGTACTATTTCTGTTGTTCGTCATTCTAGTACTATTTCTGTTGTTCGTCATTCTAGTACTATTTCTGTTGTTTGTCATTCTTGTACTATTTCTGTTATTCGTCTTTCTAGTAGTATTTCTGTTGTTCGTCATTCTAGTACTGAGTCATGAGCTATGACTTATGAGTTAGATTATCTTCACAGCACTCCGGACACACTCATAGGCGCTCCGATTCCCCTCTCAACATATTTATCAGCGTTGTTCGGCTATTAGTACCAGTCCTATGTTGGTTAACAAGACTTCGTGTGCGTCCAGTGTGCTTCTCATGTTTCTTTACTCCCAATTCGCATATTCTTAGCAGTGATGCTGACACGTTGCTTTCAAAACCCTCCGAACGTCCTGTCTCTCTAAGGGCATTGACAATATCTGCGTCATCCATGGGCCGGCCATCCTTAATTAATGCAGCACCTGCCAGTCTATCAGTTCTCTCATTACCAACAAAGCGTGCATGACCTGGGACGAATATGAGAGTAACTGCACACAGAGGAGAATTTTGCAACGACTCAAGCCACTGTCTGCGTAACAAGCCTGCCTCGACCCGCCGGATCATAAAGAATCACTCAGCACACACACGCGGGAATAGTCCTTTGATGCCAGCCACATGAAAGCCTGTGTCACCGCCATCACCTCCATCGTCATGCTGCTGTTGGTCATGGAGAAGGCACTGCTGGCTTCCTTAACTGCTCTGCCTGAAGAGCGAGCTGTAAATGCCCATGCACTATTATGTCCTTGTAAAACGGACCCGTCTGTGAAGATCACCACATCTGTTTCATCTGACTTGTTACTGATAAGCGCGCATACCTCGGCATTGACAGCAGCTAGATTCTGCTCCCGACATTTCTTATCGCACGTCACGACCCAGGAGAATGTGAGATTGGGCGCTTTAGACTCTGGTATCCACTCCTCACCTGGATGGATGTCTGTAAGGCTGCAAACCTGCGTGATGTCCTCTGCCCTACCTAGCCATGATTTGCCCCTTTTAAGCCTATCGCCCTATTCTTCATTTGGTAGGCTTCAGACTTACGTTTGCACGTTTCGATTAGTTCACGCATACATTAAGAATCGATGGCTCCATTCAGATTCACATAAAATAATTGTAGTTTAGTTGTTGTCCGCATTTGTAGGTAAAAAGATAATTTACCACAAAGAGAAAATTGTTTATTTATATCTCCCCGCCATTGAAAAAAAAAAACGTTTTTACCTTTTCATGTCAGTGGGTGCTGTCATAATATAATTATGTCTTCACTGAATACTTGATAGAGTACTTGGATAGAGGCCATGTCCAGTACTTGATAGAGTACTTGGATAGAGGCCATGTCCAATACTTGATAGAGTACTTGAATAGAGGCCATGTTCAATACTTGATAGAGTACTTGGACAGAGGTCATGTCCAGTACTTGATAGAGTACTTGGATAGTGGCCATGTCCAAAACTTGATAGAGTACTTGGATAGATGCCATGTGCAATACTTGACAGAGTAGCTGGATAGAGGCCATGCACAATATTTGATAGAGTACTTAGATAGAGGCCATGTCCAATACTTGATAGAGTACTTGGATAGAGGCCATGTCCAGTACTTGATAGAGTACTTTGGTAGAGGCCATTTACAATACTTGATAGAGTACTTCGATAGAGGTCATTTCCAATATTTGAGAGAGTACTTGGATTGAGGCCATGTACAATACTTGATAGAGTACTTGGATAGAGGCCATGTCCAGTACTTGATAGAGTACTTAGATAGAGGCCATGTCCAGTATTTGATAGAGTACTTAGAGGCCATGTACAATACTTGATAGGGTACTTGGATAGAGGCCATGTCCAGTACTTGATAGAGTCCTTGGATAGAGGCCATGTACAATACTTGATAGAGTACTTGGATAGAGGTCATGTCCAGTACTTGATAGAGTACTTAGTTAGAGGCCATGTACAATACTTGATAGAGTACTTGGATAGAGGCCATGTCCAGTACTTGATAGAGTACTTAGATAGAGGCCATGTCCAGTATTTGATAGAGTACTTATAGGCCATGTACAATACTGATAGAGTATTTGGATAGAGGCCATGTACAATACTTGATAGAGTACTTGGATAGAGGCCATGTACAATACTTGATAGAGTACTTGGATAGAGACCATGTCCAGTACTTGATAGAGTACTTGGATAGAGGCAATGTACAATACTTGATAGAGTACTTGGATAGAGGCCATACTTGATAGAGTACTAAGATAGAGGCTATGTCCAGTACTTGATAGAGTAGAGGCCATGTACAATACTTGATAGAGTACTTGGATAGAGGCCATGTCCAATACTTGATAGAGTACTTGGATAGAGGCCATGTACAATACTTGATAGAGTACTTAGATAGAGGCCATGTACAATACTTGATAGAGTACTTGGATAGAGGCCATGTCTGGTACTTGATAGAGTACTTAGATAGAGACCATGTCCAGTACTTGATAGAGTACTTAGATAGAGGCCATGTACAATACTTGATAGAGTACTTGGATAGAGGCCATGTCCAGTACTTGATAGAGTACTTAGATAGAGGCCATGTCCAGTACTTGATAGAGTACTTAGATAGAGGCGACAAGCTTACGATTGGTTTACCGGACACATGTTGAACTTTTGTTAGCAGGTTGCAGAGGAACACTGGCAGACAATTCGGACACGATGGACTTTCAAAGGGTGAGAAACCCTTTTCCACTAGCTGCCTGGACCAGCTGCACTTCGAGGCCCTGGTATTGGTACCTCTACGTTGTTGCGTTGCAGTGTCAAAGCCAGCTAGAGGCCCGGTTTCGGTTAACCTCTCTTAGTTTTTCACTGCAAGTGTAATTTCGTTTCCGTTCATTACTGACTAAATCCAGTTTTAAAGTTTCTGTTTCCTGTAATGGTAAAATATTGTTTTATTTCTATAAAGTAATTGAATGCTTTTGTTGCTAGTGATCTCGCTCCCATTCCTCCATCTGCAAAGACCTCTGTACGCGTCGTTTATCCTCAGACCGGATGCTAAATCACTGTATTTATCTCGAGCTTATTCATTGATAGTCCTCCATACGCGACCATATGGTAGCAAGTCAGCTCAACTCAGAATGAGCTGCCTTTCGTTTTTTGCGCAGAGTGGAGATAACTACATTTTTCGGTCGCAGGGTAAATCTTCCGGATCAACTCGGGGTACCTTCAACAATTGGTTCAAAATGGCCCGGCAGATCAACCGCCAGTAACCAGACTCTCAGCAGATTCTAATGAAGATGAGTTCGAAGTTCGTTTTGGTTGACTTTCTTAGCTTTTGGAACTTCTAGTAACCAGAAATTATTGGTAAAGGAAACGACCCTTAAAAAAAAAAGAGCCAGTTGTTACATTTCATTATAATATTTGAAATCGGCATATAAAAACTAATCATATGTGATATATTTAAATATGGCTGCTAAAAACTTTTAGCAAAATTGTTGTGTCGCCAGTGTTATATCTTTCTTTAACACTAGGGCTTTCCTGTACGGTGATTACTCTTCATGACTTTCAATGTCATTCTGATTCACTTGACTAATGCAACTTCAAAATGTTTCATTGTACCTCCAAAATTATGACAATTAATATGCTTATAGGTAACGTCATCAAGATGTACCGTGTCTTCGTGGACGCAAGAAGTGGTGCCCCTGTGTCTCTTAGGATCGAAAATGTTTTGCATTTGGCAACGTTCTTATATAAATTAAGTGTTCTTTAAGAATTCGTGGCTGCATCTCCATTTTGTACATGGTTGTTTTGTCAACAATTCAGGGGTATTGTCTTCATGGAACTGCTGCCATGTTGAACGTCTGTTGTGTGCTATCTGAGTTACACAAAAATCAGCACACGACCAAGTGTCCACAGTTACAGATTTTCACGGGACACATGTCTCGGCGACTCTTTGGCTGTCAACTTTGACCACCAATTGACCTTTATTGGAACTACCACGAGGGTATCGACGCCCGGTTTAGACTGTATACTCAGAGATTATATACTTTCAATTTTCGAACATTCCTGGGCACTCTCTCTCTCTCTCTCTCTCTCGCATCTCTCTCTCTCTCTCTTCTGGCCAGTCTTCTCAAGCGGGTAGCGACCTCGATCTGACACTTGGGCTCTGAAGACTACAGCTTCCCATAGCTCTAATCTCGCGGTATAGAAGAACAGGAAGAACTCTCCTATCAACTGGATCTTGATATTACTTCAGTAGACAAAAACGGCTGACTGGAAACGGACTTCACTTGCTCGTTCTCCAGCATGTGCCCAAAGCACATTTACCTATCAAAGGACTCCTAGGACAGACAGGACTTCTAACACAAGCCCCCTTCTAGCACACAGCTTCAGTCGGCATCCCTGCTGTTCTGTTTCCATGGTTATCCTACGTCTCCTTGCGCCGTCACTATTAGAGCATCCAGTCTCCTTGGCCTTACTTCGCCAGCGTGACTATATTTTCGACCAGTACCTTGACCGAGACCTTGCTGTCTGTGGGTACGTGGCATTCTGT